GGAGTAGTTCAAAAGTCTAGAAGTAAGGTTAGACTCACACATGGAGGAACTTGAGTGCCAAGTTGAAGGCGTTTGAATTTGAGCAGAGAAGTGACATGATCACAGTCTCATAAGAAGATAGTGAGCTGGCCCTGTCAAAAATGGCTTCACCTGAGATGTGAAGCAATTAGTGAATTAACCTGGTGGAAATAGAAGTTGGTAACTGGTGAATGTATGGATATAAGGAAAGGAGTGGAGGAAAAAAAAAAATACTCTGAAGGAGAGCAAGAGGGACTTCGCTGGCGGTCCAGTGGTTTAGACTCCACACTCCCAATGCAGGGTACAGGGGTTCCATCCCTGGTCGGGAACTAAGATCCTTCATGCCCAGTGGTGCAGACAAATTTAAAAAAAAGGGGAAGAGACAGCATGGTACAGTGGTGCAGCAGGTTCTGAAGTGCTGATAAACTTCAGTTTCTACCCCTTTGTTTTCTTGGACAGTCTTGGTGATGAGTGTTATTACTATATAGCTGCTTTTTGAAATGTTAACTACTCAGCTCTTCATCTGTTATGTTTATTTACTGTTGATACAACTTACACAATTTAGATAAGCAACAAAAAGTGATACTGTCATCTCACCATGTAATGATACAGAAGTGCATAAATATAAAGAAGAAAAGATAGAGAATTCCCTCACCAGGCCTCAGACACAAGCAGTGTTAAGCTTTGGTATCTTTTCAAATCTTTTGTGTGCATGTGTACATAAAATATCTATTTCACCACTATTTCTATGCTTTGTTTTATTTTTTTATTTATTTTTTTTTTTGGTACGCGGGCCTCTCACTGTTGTGGCCTCTCCCATTGTGGAGCACAGGCTCCGGCGCGCAGGCTCAGCGGCCATGGCTCACGGGCCCAGCCGCTCCGCGGCATGTGGGATCTTCCCGGACCGGGGCACGAACCCTTTGGTACGCGGGCCTCTCACTGTTGTGGCCTCTCCCATTGTGGAGCACAGGCTCCGGCGCGCAGGCTCAGCGGCCATGGCTCACGGGCCCAGCCGCTCCGCGGCATGTGGGATCCTCCCGGACCGGGGCACGAACCCGTGTCCCCTGCATCGGCAGGCGGACTCTCAACCACTGCGCCACCAGGGAAGCCCCTGTTTTATTTTTTAAAACAGAATCACATATGTGTTAGTCATTTAGATTTTTATCGTGAGATCCTTTCATGTATAGCTTTTTGTTTTAATGTCCATAAACTTAGGTGTGTTGAATTTAACTATTTCCTTATTGATGGACATTTAGTTTGCCTCTAGAGTTTCTCTTTTACAACTGATACTTCAGTAACTACCCTTACTAGCTTTTAAAAACGAAACATCTTTCTTGAAACTAACACAACATTGTAAATTAACTATACTTCAATTAAAAAAATAAAAAGTCTTGTTAAAATTTGAAAAAAGTGAACACCTTTACTTATGAAGGTATAATTTACTGAATTTTTCCATAAGGGAATTTTTTAATACACATAATATGTAGGGGACAGTAATTATTACACAACTTATCAAAATCACGTTTATAGTGAATTTTCATCAATTTGCTTGGCCCAAGGAAGCACTTTTAGTTAGTGAAAAGTATTATTGACTTCCAAGTAGTGTGAGTGTTTTTTTCTACTGATGTCCAGGACCACTTAAGATATTTGAGCAGTCTTTTCGAAAGATTGTTTTAAAATTGATGCCAGAATACTTAATTCATTTGCGTGGGAATACTTAAAATAACACTTAAAGGAAATTTCTATCTCATTCACAGGAGGGTTATATGTCAGAGATCCTCACATGAAAATGGCATATCTTTAGTTCAAATGGAAATATAAAGCTACCTCTAACTTCTTTTATAGCATACGGAGAGAAAGTTAACTTCTAAAAATGTTACAGAAAATGTCCTTTAGAAGTTTAGTTTCATATCTGTAACTCATTAACTTGAAAGAATTTTCATCAAGTTTTAATTAGGTTATGTTCTTAGGTTTCTTATCTAAACAGCTTTTTCTTTTGTTTTTGAGAGATGTAGTACAGGTCATGAGATTTACTCATTTGTGGACTGAAAAAAGTAAACTTATTATATGTCAGACTCTGTGCTAGGTACTGGGAATGTAGCAGTGTACTTAATTTGTATGAATAGTATAGAATATTAATTCAGAATATTGCCAGTAAATTGTACCCATAGGTTGACTACTATGTCATTGTTTTATAGTGTGGTAAGTGTTCTGACTTAAAGTCTCAGCCCAGGCTGACTTGAAGTATAGCAGTGGTCACTAGACTTGAATTTCAAGTTTAATTTCCAGAAAGCGTAGGGCTTTGACAACTTTTTTTTTTTTTTTGCGGTACGCGGGCCTCTCACCGTTGTGGCCTCTCCCGCTGCGGAGCAGAGGCTCCGGACGCGCAGGCTTAGCTACCATGGCTCACGGGCCCAGGCGCTCCGCAGAATGTGGGATCTTCCCGGACCGGGGCACTAACCCGTGTTCCCTGCATCGGCAGGCGGACTCTCAACCACTGCGCCACCAGGGATAGCTATCTTTTTTTTAAACCTTTTTTCTTGTGAAGTATAACACACACAAAGTGTAACACAGAAAGATACACAGACATAAATATACAGCTCAATAAATGATCACAAAGCAAATATCCATACAGAGACCACCCAGTTTAAGAAATAGAAAGTTGTCTGCCCTCCAGAGAGCTCCTTTATACTCCCTTCCAACTCTTACCCACCCCATCCAAAGGTAACCACCATTGTAATTTCTTACACTATAGGTTTGTTTTGCCTTTTATGATTTTCTTCATGCCTTTAAGATCTATAGTGATGTCCCTCTTTTCATTCCTGATACTGGCAAAGTGCCTTTTCTCTCCTCAGTAAATCTCATTAGAGGTCAATTCTTTTTATTAGTCTTTTCAAAGAACCAACTCTTGGCCTGGTTATACTTCTCTGCCTTAATAGTTCTCTGATGCTTTCAAATAGATGATTTAAAAAATTTTGTCCCCTAGTTTACTTGTCCTCAGTGGGAGGAGGGTTTGTCTGAAATTACCTAGTTCACCTATAAATAGAAGTAAAATTCCTCTTAAGATATCTGTTTGAAATTGAGACAGTATAGAAAAGGCACTGGCTTGGGGCTTAGATGCCTTTCATTTAATATTCACATATTAACTGAGCAACTG